AGAATCCAGATTCTTCCTAGTTACCAGCAAAATCTAACATGGTTCAATGTCGCAGAAGGGGAGTTTCTCAATGGATAATGAGAAACCCATAGAACTTTAAGGAATGTTGGAGAACGGACATCAGTCTGGAGAGCCAGGAACAGGCCTGGCACCCACAGTGCAGAGCTGCTTTGGTGAAGAAATAGATTTTGTTTCAAACCACTGACTGCTGGATGTTCCTGTGCTGTGTAAAAGGCAGGCATGGCTATACTAAACTAGGTGGGCGAGTGGAGAGTGTGGAATACAGGCGAATCCCTGGAACTGACTGTCTAGCCAAGTTTTCTTAAGCCTATGAGCTCTAGGTTCCGTGAGGTGAGGGTGTGCTTGTACCCACACACATGTGCACACACATAAACATGTACACAAGCATCCACCACTCCGATAATACTCAAATACTCAGATTTCTATCAATCATGTTTCATAAATGATCTTCAGTGAGCTAAAATAGTGTCAAAGATTTCTTTCAAAGTGTACATTTGGAGCAGTGGTTCTCAAGATGTGGGTCATAACCCCTGTGGGGTCGAACAAGCCTTTCTCAGGGTTGCATATCAGGTATTTACATTATAATTTGTAACAGTAGCAAAATTACAGTTATGAAGCAGCACCAAAACAGTGTTATGGTTGGGGGTCACCACAACATGAGGAACTTTGTTAAAGGGTTGCAGCATTAGGAAGGTTTGGAACTACTGATTTGGAGGATGAAACACATACAAGAAGACAGAGACAGAAGAAAAATAATGTTCTCAGTAAGAAGAGTAAACAAAGCACTAAAATAAGAACGAATCACCCAAGACACCACTTGTAGTGCATGCCTGGAATCCCAGCATTTAAGAGGCAAAGGCAAGAGCATGATGGGTTCGAGGCCAGCCTACAGTGAATAACCAAAGCCTAGCTGAAAAACTAACAAACAAAACAAAACAGTTACTATTACCTGTCAGAAATGAGCAAGCCACAGTTAGCCTGATGCATGCCTGCAATCTCCCTCCCATATACAACCTGCATATATTCTTCCTCGGAAGAGGCCATTTTGTTATAACTTAGCATCTTCACGAAGACCGCCAACGAAATGAGACGGGGAGGGATGGCAGAACCACAGGCCTTGACCAAGGCCAAGAAGCCGAACTGCTCCACTTGGTTGCCCAAAGCAGCACCAAAGGACCATAGAGAAACAGAGAGACAGGCTGCAGATGCCTGCGTTTTCCTCCCTTATCTTTGCACAAAATATCTCAATGCAGGTGGCCAATAAGCAGGAGCTGGGGAGCCAAATGGAAGGTTATGTAGCCTTAGCGGAAGTCTCCGAGCCTCTGTATTCCCTCGGCAAATGGCAGTTTCCAAGCCATTCTGACGGTTGTGTACTAAAGTCCCAGCACCACCTGTCACATAAGCCATCACACACGAGGCCAGTCAGTGTACTTGTCTGAGGATTTTCAAACACATTGGGAAATACAGGGAAATACCAGCTCTCCAAAATGAAGGGCAGTGGCTTTTTTTTTTTTTTTTTTTTTTTTTTT